ACAACAGAGGTTTCCAAACCTGAGGCAGGGAGGATGGCGTGGAGGGCAGTGTGAGGGGCTAAGCAGACTCTGGGGCCCATGGACAGTACTCCCTCATTCAGTGCAGGCTAAGGGGCAAGTGGTGCCGGAATCCCAACTACACAACACCCACCCAGAGCATGAAGCATCGTTTTCTAACCCAGCAAGGTGCCATGTGGGCTCATGGTCACAGGGCCTGGCTGCCCCCTCTCCCATCAACGTTGAAACTATACCTGTCAAGATTCGGAAATGATTGTTTATGTTGAATATGTGGTCTGGAGTGTTCACTATGTATACAGTGAGGGTGGTGAGGTTATCCGTCTAGAAATATTTACAGGTTATGAGACAGAACACCCAAGGGAGATTGTAAGATTTCCTGTTTGGTTTTTTGTTGTTGTTTTGGGGTTTTTTTTTTTTTAGACAGAGTCTGGGTCTGTCACCCAGCCAGGTGCAGTGCTGCAATCACAGTTCACTGCAGCCTCCACCTCCTGAGCTCAGCGGATCCTCCCACCTCAGCCTCCCGAGTAACCAGAACTACAGGCGTGCATCACCACATCTAGTTAATTGTTTTTATTTTTAGTAGAGATAGGGTCTCTACTCAAGTATGCAGAACCTAATGAACGATGAATATGATATTTAATGAGAGTTTTTTTTTCAAGTTAGTGATAAAAAGATGGCCTGCTTAATGAATGCTAAATAAATTGACACTGCCAATTATTGGTCTACAAAATTAAAACAGAACCCCATTGGAAACCATATACAAAACTGAATTCCTAAAGGAAAATGTAGGGGTGAGTAAGACTTTAAAAAGACTAGAAGCACAAGTTTCCCAAGCTGGTCACAAATTCCTGGGCTCAAGCGATCCTTCCACCTCGGTCTCCAAAAGTGCTGGGATTACAGGTGTGAGCCACCACACCCGGCCCCTGTTTGTTTTTGTTTGTTTGTTTTAATATATGTATCCTGGAGATTTAAAGGCAGAATTTCCTGAAGTGTATTCTATTTGATGTTAGTGGGCTTAAGACCATTTTTTAAAAAGTGTTCTCTCCCATTGGGAATTCAGGGGTTAAACACAAACAGGTTTCTTTACTTGTGGGCCTTCCCAGGGCCTCTGATGTTAATGTGCCCTCCAAGGGCGAATGCTAATGTGGGTATCCAAGGAGGGGCATGTGGGGAGCTGCATTTCTCAAATTATGGAGCCCTTATGGGAAAGGTTTTAGAAACCATCTTGCCTGGAGGCAGGGGGATGAGTGAGAACTCCACAGAGCTAATGAGTTCTGTCATTCTGAGTCCTTGGCTTCCTGATAAATGTTCCCAGTTTGGGCAGCAGTGGGTAGAGGGGAGGCTATGGAAGCAGTCTCCCTGTTGCTGCCCAAAAGCAGCATTATGGACTAGTCAGCTCTCAGAAATCTCTCAGAGTGGTAGGCGAAGAAGAAGACTATGGAATCACTTTCCCCAATACCTCCTTCAGAGTCATGGATTCCCTGTTGAAAGAAACATATTCAGCCAGTTCCTGACCTCAGACCCCCAATTCTGGTTCCAGTTCCACTAAAGACAATAAGAAAAGCAGGAAAGGTAGAATGATGTTGTCTTCTTCTTCAGAGTTCACATCTGCCTTTGCCTCCCCAGGGCTTCCCACCAGTGTCAATCAACAAATACTGAGCTTGTACTGTGTGTCTCAAAGAAGGATAAGACCAGACTTCTTGGGCTCACAGTTTACAGCCTGGGTTGGGAGCAGTGACAGCAAGAGCCCTGGGGAGAGGGCCCTCAGGCTGCCTGTTGCCCATGCAGAGTATAAGACTGAGGAGGGTGGGGAGATAGGGCCCTGGTGAACACTGGGCACCAGGGAGAGGCCTGGGAGAGATGGGCAGGGGATGAGTATGAAACCATTAACAGCAAGTTATGATAACGTGCCATCCCCAGGAGCGTGGACAGTGAGCTTCTCTGGCAATAGGGACAACAAGGGGCTAATACTGCTGGGGCAAACTAATGCTACACAATTAGAAGCAGCAAGGCATTGCAAAGGAGGGCCGGGAGACCCCCGCTGGCAATGCACCCTCTCTGGTGCAAGTCAGATTTGAGGATTAGAAAGTTCTTTCCACAATAACTGATGATAGCTGGCCCTAAACAAACTAACTGTACATGGTACAACTGAGTGCAGACTGCAGGCATAAGAGCTCAGGTAGCTTGCACCACGAAGAAAGCTCCTGGGAGGAACGGCAGTTACTTCCTGCCAAGCACATCTGCTCGGCTGCTTCCCAGGGCAAAGTAAACTAGAGTACAGCTGGTGATGAACGGGGTTGCTGAAGGCAAGGAGTGGCTTCTGTCCCAGAGAGGAACCAGGGCCCCTTAGAAAAGGGGGACAGCACTGCCTGCAACTAATAGTCTGTGCCTACTCAAGGCAATCAACGGGTTCATTCAACTAGCTCTTTCAGCAGTCACCATGGGGGCTAAGAGTAGAGGGAAAGCTCTTCCACTGTTTCAGAGCCACATTTTTATCTAGTAAGTTGCCTAATGCTGATGCAATTGCTATTTTTAACTCAAAACAACAAAATACATCTAATTGTATTGATACATGTTTTATGTACATGTGTACATAGTGAAAGTTTAAGTGATATGAATTGCTTAACAAACACAAGCAGAAAATTAGTAGACGTTGACAGAAAACTCAATAGCTTTTCCTAAGGGGTCTTCTCTTACCCTGAATTTTCCAGGAGACCTAGGGACCCACAGTCCCCAAAGGGAGCTGTCACAGGAAGTGATGACTTTGACACTCGTGGGGTGGGGATGGGAATTTCATCAATCTGTTGCCGCCATTGCGTCTCACCACCACACTGTGGCGCTATTGATAGCTGGTTCTGCCCAGTCCCATGAACTTAGCCGATGAGTAGGTTCTCTTGCTACTGATAGATCCTCCTGGGGCCTCTGTTCAGGTTTTCTAATCTAAGCTCAGGCAAGGGGGCTCCTGCTGCTTGACTCAATCTGATGATACTTCAGTCTGCGTATTCCCAGCAGCAGAACTCCATGGGCCACCCGCCAAACACATCTTCAAGGGGGTGTTACCCTCCCAAAAGATGACCAGGGTGACCTTTAGTTCTTCTCTTAGCAGAAGCTAAATAACAGCATCATAATTTGAATCTTCAGCAGGATATCCCCTCCCGGAATTATAATTATAATCGTAATTCCTCTCCAGCAGGAATAATTTACTAAGATTCTTTTGTTAGGTCAGTGTAAACCTCTCCGATCATTTGATCAGATGAGAAGCCACTAATAGAAATACTGAGGGAAGAGGTGGGAAACTGAGATTGTGGGTTAGCCTTTATTAGTTTATGAATTCCTAACAGTGGGTCCTTAAAAAGTGACTTACCCTTCATGTGCCTCAAGTTTCTCACCCGTAAAACCAAACAATATTAGCACCTACCTCTCAAAGATGGCATGAGAATTAAATGAGATGATTCACATCAGGCTCTTAGCACAGTGTCTTGCACATCATGAATAATAAGTGTAGCTATGATTATCATTATTATTATTATTTCACTACAATGTTTGTTTGCTGTTCTATCCAAGTACCTAGAGCAGTACCAGGATATCCAGGACCCTCTGTACATATTTACTGAATGAAAATCATACCGCTTAATAGTAATATGCTACACTGTGTTTTTCAGCTTCGTATTCAGTGATAGACACAGAACACAATTGCAGGTGTGTACCCCCCTATGCTACCTGGCAGGTAGGTTATGAGTTGTTTCTTTTTCCTTTTTTTTTTTTTTTTTTTGAGACAGGGTCTTGCTCTGTTGCCCAGGCTGGAGTGCAGTGGTGAAGCCTCAGCTCACTGCAACATTTGCCTCCTGGGCTCAAGCCATCCTCCCCGCTCAGCCTCCCTCTGAGTAGCTGAGACCACAGGCACATGCCACCAAACCCCACTAATTTTTTTAATTTTTCGTAGAGACAGGGTTTTGCCATGTTGCCAGGTTGGTCTCAAACTCCTGGGCTCAAGTGATCCTCCCTCCTTGGCCTCACCAGGTGCCGGGATTACAGGTATGAGCCACCGCGCCTGGACTATCCGTTCTTTTCTAACAGTAAAGACAGAATTGGCTCAAGAAATACATAGTCCAACTGTGAGGTTTCTTGTTTGAATCACCTTTCTGAATTGTTGTATGAAAAAATGTAAATAGTATATGAGGAAAATAAATAAGTTATGAATATTAAATCAGCATGAACAAATAGTAAGTTGTACTTGTTAAAATTGTCGTAAACTTCTGACCCCTATCAAATTAAATTTAAATAATGAAGTCAAATATGAATAGACAGGGGTCATATGGGAGAGTGCAGTCTGGATCCCAAATTTGTACAGTAAAAGAGAACTGCTAGAAAATCATTTTGAGCAAGGGACTGATAGGTGTTACCTGAGAAATAAAAGCCCTAGCCCCTGCCTTCAGTTGCTTACATTCTGGTTGAAGACATGGAATAATGCACAACCCATGTTGGAAGTCAGAGAGCTGAGGCAGTCAGGATGGGCAGGAGCTGGAATCAAGGATGGCAGGACTCTGGGTAAAGCAGAGAGGCGTAGAGAGGGCCCCCAGGACCAGAGCCAGCAGAAGCCAAGTGTGAGATCAGGAGAGCTAAGAGTTCCAGAGAAGACTGACCTGATAGATCTGAGGGTCTGTTTGGGAGACATTTTCTAGAACCTTCTCTTGAAAGTAACAGGGAGGCTTTGAAGGCCATTGAGAAGGGGAGGGATATGTAAATTTGTCCTGAATTCTCAGACATTTGGTTTCACTCTTTTTTTTTTTTTTTTAAGGAGAATCTTGCTCTGTCGTCCAGGCTGGAATGCAGTGGCATGGTCTTGGCTCACTGCTACCTCCACCTCCCAGGTTCAGGCGATTCTTCTGCCTCAGCCTCCCAAGTAGTAGGGATTACAGGCGCCCACCATCCCACCCGGCTAGTTTTTTTAATTTTTAGTAGAGACAGGGTTTCATCATGTTGGCCAGGCTGGTCTCGAACTCCTGTCCTCAAGTGATCCTCCCACCTCAGCCTCCCAAAGTGCCGGGATTGCAGGTGTGAGCCACCATGTCCGCCTGGTTTCACTTTTGAGAACACATCTAAGTCTCCATGATGCTTAGAATCATTGTTGATTTTTCTTGGTCCTCATTTAGTGTGGAGGACAAAGCGAGCTGGAAACAGACTCAGGGCCTGCAGTAAGGACAGAGGTGAGAGGGTGCAGAAGGAGACATTCTCGGGAATCTGAGTTTACCACGAACTCCTCCTGTCAGGGAGAGAGCTAGCCCCTTTCTGTCTCTTGGAGAGGCTGTGCCCAGTGGCCAAGGTGTCACGCTGCCCATCACTCACTCACTTGCTAAGTCCTGAGCATCTTTTACGAAGAGGGAAAAAATAATAGAGTCGTGATAAGTGCTAATATAGCCCTTATGGTACCCTGTAGACACACACACGAGGTGGGCGTGCGATCAGAGAGGCTTCCTAGACAAAATGGCACCTAACCTGGATCTGATAACCACATTCAATGAAGCTTAGTGGCACCTAAACTCAACACACACCAATTATTTCTGAAATAACAGCTTCCTAAATCCTATGAAAGGCTACGTGTAATCAGTCCCACCCTAACAAACCCAGCTTTCTGCCTAATCCTCTCTCTCAGTTATTCCACATGTATTTGTGGAGCATCTATTACTTGACAGGGGCTGGGCTAGGCTCAGGACACACAGGTGAAAGAATAGATGCCCCTATTAGGTGCCACGAAGAAACCAGGGGTGAGAGGGTGTATCTCGGACCATAGGGACTGGGGCAGGGAAGGCTTTGATGACTGTCTCTGCCAGGCAGAGGGCTTTGAACGGACCAACAACACCTACCTGGTTATCAAAGAGGCATTCCTTTCCATAAAGAGTTGGCTTCCCTCCTTGGCTGATGGCTGCTGCTGCTAATTCAATAGGCAGTCTCAGACCCTCTTCTAGATGTAAGGCCCTGGAAGGGATCAGTGATGAGACTTAATCCCCACTCTCAAGGGACATGACAAAATTGGGCATTTGTATAAGCTATGCCCTTTAGGAGGTGTTTTTGCATACATACTTTCACAGTTGATTCCCTTATTAATTTCTCGTCAGGGATGTTTCCCTTGCCCTTCCGTTAGGGAAACCATGACTCAAAGCGGTCACCCGACTAGTAAGAAGGGATGGGCACAAGATTTTAACCCAGATCTGTGCCCCTTCAGTAGCCAACCACCTCTCCTCATGAGGCTTACAATCCCGTTTGCAGGTGGAGATGACACAAATAAGCCCATAATACAGGCCTTTCCTAATTGATATGTTCACTCTCCTCTCCTCTTGTTTAGAAATGTTTCCCGGGACTCCCTCCACTGAGCTGGCGCACTCCTAACAGCAGCCATCAGTTTGAGCACCCCCGACTGCCCAGGGATCAGGGATCCCGAAGGCCGTGAGGACCAAGGACCGGGCGCTGGGGTGGGGGTGGAGGGCATGGAGCCTGGGGTTTAGGCCTGAGGTGCCCATGTTGGGCGGCAGGAAGAGGCAAGTCGTGCGGGTCTGTGGCCGTGCCCATGGGTACTGCGGAGCGAGGTGTGGGCCCTCAGAGTTCCGCGGCGCCATGGGCTGGATCTGAGAAGGCGTGCACCGACACCCTGAGAGGGGCTACACTTGTCTAGGACGATGGCTGGTGTTAGGGAGTCCTTGAAAGCCACCCTAAAGGGCGAAAAGAGGCCCTAGCAAATCCTGGTACCCCAGAGCTGCTGCTAGCGATGTGACTTGCCCCAGTGGTCGAGACGGTGCAGACCCCAAGCAGGGGCCATTCGGTGGGGGCCTCACTCTGGGTCCAGCTCCACGTGGCACCATGAACAATAACTTCTGCCGGGCTCTTGTGGACCGGAGGCCCCTGGGGCCCCCCAGCTGCATGCAGCTGGGTGTCGTGCCCCCTCCCCGGCAGGCGCCCCTGCCTCCCGCCGAGCCCCTGGGCAACGTGCCCTTCCTGCTGTACCCGGGCCCAGCCGAGCAGCCCTACTACGACGCCTACGCGGGGGTGTTCCCCTATGTGCCCTTCCCCGGCGCCTTCGGGGTCTACGAATACCCCTTCGAGCCAGCCTTCATCCAGAAGCGCAACGAACGCGAGCGGCAGCGCGTTAAGTGCGTCAACGAGGGCTACGCGCGCCTCCGCGGCCACCTCCCCGGCGCCCTGGCCGAGAAACGACTTAGCAAGGTGGAGACGCTGCGCGCCGCCATCCGCTACATCAAGTACCTGCAGGAGCTGCTGAGCTCGGCCCCAGACGGCGCGACGCCCCCCGCCGCCCGCGGCCTCCCGGGCACCGGGCCCTGTCCCGCGCCGCCCGCCGCCCCCCGGCCCGACCGCCCTGGCGACGGCGAGGCCCGGGCACCCTCCTCCCTGGTCCCGGAGTCATCCGAGTCCTCCTGCTTCTCCCCCTCGCCTTTCTTGGAATCGGAGGAATCCTGCCATTGATCGGGCCTGTGGCCGCCCCTAGCTTGAGGGATGATCCGTCGGCCCCGTCCCACTTTCGGGAGCAGCGGGAGGCTGCTGGGTCACCCGCGATGCGCCGCAGGCTGGTGACTGCAGGAGGTCCGCGGCGCTCCCGTGTCTGGGACACCCTCCCTCCTCCATCAACTTGGGGAGGAAGTGCAGGGCAACGGGTGCGAGGCGCGCGATAGAGACCTGAGGAGCTCCGTGGGTGCAGCGAGGGGCAGGGCCTGGGACTGCTCCGGGCGTCCTGCGTCCCCTCCAGGGTGCAGAGGGGCACTCCAGGACGATCATCCCTGGGTCTGGCTCCCGCTCGGCCTCAGGTGGCTCTGCTTTGTCCTTCCTCGCCGCAGACGCAGCCCAGTCTCTGCGAGCTCCCGGGAGGCAAGCCCGGCTTTGATCCCTCGGTTACCATGCCCTTGCTCTCCACCAGATGGCCTCAAATACTAGCGACTTCTTTGGGAGCACGCTTGCCCCTTTAGAAAGGAACCCAGAGGAAGGGATGGGAGGCCAGGCTGCTGCCGGCGCTCAGCCCGGACGGAACCCACAGACTCAGCAGAGGCGACCTGTGTGCCCTGGCGGCGTTCTCTAGCTTCCTTGGTGGGGGGGCGATCACTCCCTCCACGCCCCCCAACGAGGTCGTCTAGTTTTGTCCCAGGTTGGGTGGGGACTGTGGTTTTTTTTCCCTCAGACTGTAAGCCTTGGGGGAGGGGGGTGTGCATATGGGTACATAGGCACTGTGTTGGCACCAAAGAGCTAAATAAAAAGGATTGCTGAATTTTCTCATTCCTAGATCATTGTCTACCCTTACCCTTCCTGGTGCCCCTTTCTTATTCCCACTCCTAGTCCAGAGTACTTGCTGGAAGGGTATGTGGGATTTGCTGTTAGTGCATTTAAGGTTCAGTGTTAGCTCAGGCATTCAATGAATTTTTTTATTTTTATTTTTATTTTTATTTTTGAGACAGGTTTTGCTCTGTTGCCCAGGCTGGAGTGCAGTGATTTGATGCCTGCTTACTGCAACCTCTGCCTCCTGGGTTTGAGCAATTCTGCTGCCTTGGCCTCCAGAGTAGCTGGGATTACAGGTGCACACCACCACGCCCACTAATTTTTGGTATTTTTAGTAGAGTTCAGGTTTCACCATGTTGGCCATGCTGGTCTGGAATTCCTGACCTGAAGTAATCTGCCCACCTTGGCTTCCCAAAGTGCTGGGATTACAGGCATGCGCCACCGTGGCTGGCCTCAATGAACTTTTCTTTTTGAGACAAGGTCTCACTCTGTCTCATTCTGTCACCCAGGCTGGAGTGCAGTGGCCCCCATCTTGGCTCATTGCAGCCTCAACCTCCCAGACTCAACTGATCCTCTCACCTTGGCCTCCTTAGCAGCTGGGACTACAAACACACACCACCACACCCTGCTAATTTTTGTATTTTTTGTAGAGACAGAGTTTCACCACTTGCCCCGGCTGGTCTTGAACTCCTGAGCTCTAGCCATTCGCCCACCTCAGCCTCCCAAAGTGTTGGGATTACAGGCATGAGCCACCACGCCTGGCCTCAGTGATCATTTACAGGGAGCGTAGTATATGTGGGGACTGTGCAGAGAAGGGGCCAGAGTCCCAGAGATAAAGCACACAACCTTTACACCTGTAGGGGTGGGAGGAGGTGAGGAAGAAAGATACACAGCAGATGCTCCACAGTGAGGCAGGTGCTATGCCAGAGGGGTGTACACTCAGGGATGTTCTGGGAGTCTTCCAGCCCACTGGAGAGGGGCTTACTGTCTCCCTGACATGGGATTGCTTGGGGGGTGGGTTGAGGGTATGTTTGGGGAGTCTTGGCTGATGGTGCAAATACTGAGATGGGTAGAGGGTGCTGTGGAGCTGTCCTGACTTAGGCTGCCCAGTGCCTTCTCCAGACAATGTCATGGGGCTGAGGAGGGGAAACCTAATTTTGGCATGAGGGGGCCACTCCGCCGTTTGAGGTTCCATATCCAAGGCTACCCCTTCCTGATCTCTGTTGCCCCAGGCTTGAAACCTTCCATCCTGTCTCCCTCTCCCACTGCCCCTGCCCCAACCCAGGCCTGTACGTAAGTTCTTCTCCCCATCCCCCACCCTCCTCAGGGGACAGATTGGGAAGTCACTGGCTGGACTGGATGGAATGACAGCTGCCTGGCCTCAGGAGCTCAGGCCCGGCAGTGGGGAGCCGAGTGGAGGCTAATTTTACTTGCTGGGAGTGGGGAGAGTAATCCTCCTGCCCCCACTCCTGCCCCCGCCCCCCGGCTGGCTCAGCAGGGCAGGCTCAGCCGACAGCCTCAGCCAGCCCAGTCCTCAAGGCGGGGGGCATTGGGGACGCAGGGAAGAGAGGGCACTGGGGAGGGGGAGCAGGAGAAAGCCAGATTCCCAGGGAAGCCATGGAGCCGTCCTCGCCCCAGGATGAAGGCCTGAGGAAGAAACAGCCCAAGAAGCCGGTTCCTGAGATTCTGCCAAGGCCACCCCGGGCCTTGTTCTGCCTGACCCTGGAGAACCCCCTGAGGAAGGCCTGCATCAGCATCGTAGAATGGAAGTATCCTTCAGGGCCCAGGCCGTGGGGGGGAGCATGCATCATGGGGGAGGGATTCAGGGGTGATCACAGAGCACACACTTCCTACAGGAGGGCCAGGGAGGCCTGGGACTTAGACCTGGGGTGAACTCACAGAATTGAGTAAGGCTGGGAGGAAGGAGCCCTCAGCTGTGCAGGAGAGGAGGAGGAGGAAGAGGAGGGAGAGAAGGAGGAGGGGGGAGGAGGAACAGGAAGAGGAGGAGGAAGAGGAGGAGGACTTGGTGGGGCTTCCTGGGCCTGAGCGGGCCATGCAAGTCCTGGGTGACAACCAGAGATGCCTACTCACCACCTATGGGTGGGGCCTGCTTCATGGGGACTGTTCCCAGGTGTGCCCAAATCCACATTATCATGGGGTGCCACTAGGTTTTTGAAGCACCAGCCTCATTTCAGAATAGGATAGGAACCAAAAAAAGGTTCAATGGCCTCTTTGAGAAAACTCCCCCTTGTTTGGGTTGGGTGGGGGGTGACCCCTCTGGGGGCAGGTCCCAGCTGAGGACAGAGCCAAGGGGAAAAATGGGTCTGAAAGACGCCTGGTCTGAGTGGCTCCAAGACAGGCCAAGCAAGCCTGGTTGTTCTAGCTCAGATGTGCCACCCTGGGGACAGGGGCTTCGAATCTCATGCTATGTTTGCATTTGCTCTAGGGGGAAGAATGCTGAAAATATCCGAGTTATCTGGGGAAGGGAGGAAGGAGTGACAGAGAGAAGGGGAGGGCTGTGTCAAGTGGGTTCTGAGAGCGAGGGTCGGGCATATTTGAAATATTTCTGAAGGGTTCTGGAAGGCTGGGCTCCTACCAACTGTTCCCTAGAAGGAAGGAGAATGAGGGATAACTAGAAGGATAAGAGAAACATGGGGCAAGTAGAGATATCTTGGGGTCAGGGTCAGCCCTGTTCCCTTCACCTGCCCTCGGCCAGTTGGTGAATCACCCACATCGAACCCTCCTAGGCCCTCCCTCCTTGCCTCTCTTTTGCAAACAGGTTTACTCCGTGGGTTCTCCCTCTTCTCCATCCTCTGCTCCTCTGCACCTTCCCCTCTCGTAGCCCCCTGCCCCTGTGGCCCTCCTCTTTTCTCAAACACTGGAGGTTACTGGGAAGAGAATGGGATTTTTCTGTCAAGCCCATCTACATAATATGCCTCCCCATCCGCCCCCAAACAACTGCCTCGCTTCCTCCCTTGCTTTCTCTAGCTCTTTCCACACTTGCTGCCTAATGGGTCAGAAAGTCAAGAAAGCCATGGACCTGGGGTACCCTCTAGAAATGGCTGTGGCAGGGTGGGTGTGTCTGGGAGGGGCGAGGTGTGACAGGTGTGAGCACGAGCACACCAGCATGCACACATGGCTCTGGAAATTCAGCGTTCATCTCTCCATCCCTCGTTCCCAGTCCTGCTCGGTGAGTTCTCAACCTTACCCCGCATCAACCCTTACCCTCCCGTGCCATTTCTCTGGGTGAGCCTCTGTGGACTGGCCAGAATCTGGGAAAGTCATGGCTCCCTGGGAGGAGGCAAGGGCGTGGACAGGCACTGAGAGTGGAGCGGTGTGAAGACCCCCTAGGCCTTAAAGCTGAGTAGCCCTCAGCCAGGGACCAGACTTTTACCATTCCAAGGAGTCTATGTGAAAGCGACTTGTTCCTGAGGAAAGGGAGCCAGTTGTCAAGGCAGGAACCTGGTCCTCACTGTATCCTGCAGGGGCTCAGGGAAGGAGCAGCGTAGGCGAGTGTCCAACAGCCTGCCCACCTGCCTGGCATCAGAGTCACAGTCCAAACTGACCCTCAGCGCCCTCTTCCCCTTAGCCCTGTAAGTCCCATGGCCCTGTGGCCCAAGGGCTCTCCTTAACCCTGGCTCCAGGCCCTTCGAGACGATCATCTTGCTTACCATCTTTGCCAACTGTGTGGCCTTGGCCGTGTACCTGCCCATGCCAGAAGATGACAACAACTCTCTGAACCTCGGCCTGGTAAGATTGGCGCTTCCATCCCCCTTCCTGCCGGCCGGCAGCCCCAGGCTTGGGGAGGCCCCCTTGGTGGACTCTGTTCTGGGGGATGGTGCTGGTGGTTTAACTCCCTGCATCCCCACCCACCTGCAGGGCTGGCTGAGTGGTTCAACAGGTTTCCAGGGTCAATGTGCTTATTCTAGATTCTGTGGCATTGTCAGCCAGCACTGAGCACGCAGTCATTGGTCCCGGGCACTGTGCTAATACCTGATGAGAGTAAACTCATTTAATCTTCACATCCACCTCATAAAGTGGTTCCATTTGATAGATGTGGAAACTGAGGCTTCGTAAGGTCAGCCAGTGAACCACAGAGGTTGGATGCTAATTTCCCTTCCCTAGATGTAATTCATAAGAAACTTGTGTCCACTGAGTTTGCCTTCATGGGAGAGTTTTATCCAGGAATCTGAAGCAAGAACATGTTTTAGAGTTCTACAATACCACTTTCTCTTCACCCCTTCATCAGTAACACATACCTGGAACCATAAAATGCCGGGGCTGGAAGGGATATTCAAAAATTAGGCTGTCCTACCTCCCCCCCACCTCATTCTGTTTTATGGATGAGGAAATTGAGGCCTTGATAGGTTCAGGGACTTACTTACCCAATAGTTAATTTATAATAAAAATGGTTAGCATTTAGTAAGTACTTATTAAATGCCAGGATTTGTGCTAAATATTTTACATTATTGTATTATTTAATCCCCATAACTACTCCTGTGGGGTAAGTAACATTATTAGACCCATTTAAAAGACAAGGAGGCTGATATTCAGAGAGTTTAGGTACATTGCCCAGGGTCACCCCACATCTAAGTCTTGTGGTAGGGCCTCCAGCTTGGTCTCTCTGACTTTAGAACCTGTATTTTTTTTTTTTTTTTTTTTTTTTTTTTGAGACAGAGTCTCACTCTGTTGCCCAGGCTGTGCAATCTTGGTTCACTGCAACCTCCACCTCCCAGGTTCAAGTGATTCTCCTGCCTCAGCCTCCCAAGTAGCTGGGATTACAGGCACCTGCCACCATGCCCAGATGATTTTTGTATTTTTAGTAGAGATTGGGTTTTGCCTTGTTGGCCAGGTTGGCCTCGAACTCCTGACCTCAGGTGATCCGCCCGCCGCGGCCTCCCAAAGTGCTGTGATTATAGGCGTGAGTCACCACGCCTGGCCAGAACCTGCTCTTGTACAGGCTGTGTTGCCAAGGTGGTGGGTGACAGCAGAAAGACTTCTAGGGGAAGTCCTCTTAGAAACAGTGGCCTCAGGCTCCCTAGGGGACAGGACAATGGAACCACCTTTTTCAACGGGGCTTTTTTTTTTCCTGCACTGAAACTGCAGGGCCTGGGAAGGAGGAGGTACATTAGCATGTGTCCAGGGCCTGACACATCTCTGCCTTTCCCTTATGCTGGTTTCCATGGGAATCTATCTTGAGCTGATGGGA